TGAATCGCATAGGTGGACGCACACTTGAGAGCACACCACCGAAGGAATTCTGGACGCTTTATTGTCCTGTAGCCATTACCAGTCCCGTGCATCCTGACCTGACCTAAAGATTGAACATTGAACGGACTGCGATACCCCAACGGCAACCACAAAGAGTGACCTTGGACTATCGACCGGTGATCGACCACTTCTGCTCACCCCTCCGCGATGGGTATTTCGGCGGCCCGTGGAAAACTGATAGCTGTCATCGGAGACGAAGATACGTGCACTGGATTTCTACTTGGTGGTATTGGTGAGCTAGACAAAAATCGACGACCAAACTTTTTCACGGTCGATAAAGATACCACTCTCAGCGCCGTGGAAGAGGCGTTTAAATCATTTGTCAACCGTGACGATATCGCCATCATACTGATCGTTCAGAATGTTGCGGAGATGATTCGCCATCTCATTGATTCACAGACGTCAGCTCTGCCTGCCATACTGGAAATACCGAGTAAAGATAACCCCTATGACGCTTCGAAAGACACCATTCTGAAGCGAGCTAAGGGTCTTTACACAGCTGAAGACTTTCGTTGATTGCTTTGCGTGAAAAACGGCATAATATTTATCTTATATTTGAAATATTCCTTCCACTGTGATTTTTCTTCAAATACATTCACTCAATAATTGTAAACAGTTCATACTTTTCCCTAACACACGAGCCACTTGATGGAGTTGAGTTGGGAGAGTGCATTCTGAATTTTATAAATCGGTATTATTCTCCTTTTCAGCTATGTCTGAGTCCACTGTGACGTCCAATTTAGACAGTTCGGCCGCAGAGTTCGTTCCTGATGGAGAACTTCTGAAGAAACTGGCTAGACGCGAAGTACTGTCTCGGTTGCGGACACTCATTGACCCTATATTCTCCAGCGAAAAGTCGTTTCAGTGCAATTTTGATCAAGTGAGTTTCATGCACAGCCTTATCACATCCTTCACTTTTATCGTGAGAGAGCAGAGTTAACCCTTGTGAATTACGTAATTGGGGCTGTTGTGCTCTCTTTTTGGCGATGAATCACATTATTTTAGTGACTAGGCGATTGCTGATGTTCGTCAGAACCTGCCACTAATGTTTGCTCACGTTCTGTCAGGATATGCGTCCCAACAAGAAATAGAAACAAGGATTGGAATTGTAGAAATGATACATTCTGAAACTTTCGAAATGTTGGAAGTAAGTTTTGCTAAGTCTGGGCCGTTATTTAAGCAACGGCAGCGTAAAACTGAAAGTAGATCTGATCAATGCAAGGAAAGCGTGCGATACAAAGCTCACCGTGTGAAATTGTGTCGGTGCACGCTTTTCGAGCTCATTAAAAGCACGATAATAGTTGAAGCAGAACCTAATTCGTGAAGCGTCCAAGTTGCTATATCTGGTAAAGAAACTTGCTCCAGAAAGTAGCTATTAACAAATAATGGCAATATATGCTAAATCTCGACGGTTCACTTGATTGTGTCCGGTGGAGAAGGGTTCTTAAGTAAGAAGGAAAAGCATAAGGGCAGTTTAGCAACCTGATCGAGAGGCTAAGTCGCTACGTGATACCTGAACCTTGATGGTTCTGATAAGTATGTCATGGTTATGTAACCATGTCCTGATAGTCCTCAATTACACAGGACTGGTTAAAAGCTGAACTTGTCCTGATGCTAGTTACCAGCATTGAAGTTGCTTATGGTTCGTGATTTGCCGATCACGTCCAGCTTGAATGAATCTATCAGGAGGAAACATAAAACTGCCGTTGCAAAACTGTGGGTTGAAGAACCGCTACAGTGTCAGTAGTGCTATGCGTTTATGGATATCCGGTACCATTCATACTCTATCTGTAATCATTGTTAACTAATTAGGTCTATGGAGTCACTTGTGTCCGTTGTTTTTGTAGTAAAAGGTATAGTATTTTGAATGTAGCGTGGTCGAACGAAGTCTAGATACGATGTCTGCATTGGTTACTGAAAAAAACTGGTATAAACTACTGTTTCCATATTTCGGCCTAAAAAAGCAGACCCATTATACGAAGAGATGTTGAACATCTCCGTCTTTAAATAGTTGCGACCAATGATTGAACCAATCCTTATAGTGAATAGGCTCAAGACGTCCGTCATCTACAGGTTCACTGAAACTCGTAAGGAATTATCAGGAAAAAAACCAACTAGATTTCGCGCCGCTCACGGATGCACTAGCCAGATATTTTCCTAAGGAATGTCTTGCGTATCAAATTAGCAGTCACTCTTGACGTCAGGAAAGACATCTATTCCATTAAGGGGTCTGTGTTATTGGAGTGGCTGGTTGAAGACTAGAGTATCTAAAATGTGATTTTGCATTTTCATTTTGGTGGTAGGCAGCTTTGCTGTCGTCTGGTTCCATATCACGCTTTACCTGGCAGGGCCATATGTGGTTGACCGCTCCAACTCCCGGGGCTCGGGTCAACGGTTTCCATCACTGAACGGCAGCCATCACGACGAGACTGCACCTTGACGTGGTGTGATGGCTTGCGTGTCTCCATGACCCTGCGAGCTACACAGGATGGTTTTTCACAGCCGGAGATCCAATCATGCCTGAAGGGTCAACGAGTAGAGGCCAGACGAAGCTCAGTCTCACAAAGCAAGCTGCTTGGGTACCCCCTGGCCTCTTTCTTCTATCCACACCCGCCCCTGGAGAGGTCACTCCAGTAAATAACACG